AGCAAGCGCAACAAGGACGTGGCCTATTCTGTCTGCATCTGGTGAGTTGGGGCGCCAGGGTCTGGCCACGCCACTTCTGCTGGGGGGCGGGACTTCCTGTTGTCCATGTGCTATGGGGGCGGGACTTCCTGTCTTAGCCTTATTCTAACAAGGGTGGGCCTTCCTGTTGTCCATGTGCTATGGGGGGCGGGACTTCCTGTCATATCTTAATTGCTATGGGGGCGGGACTGATGTATCCATGTGGAGGCGGGACTTTATGCCTTAACCTCATTGCCGTTTGTGCCGGGACTTCCTGTGAGTCCATGTGCTACAAGGGCGGGACACTGACACGGGGGGTGGGACTTCCTGGTGTACCCCCATTCTCACAGTGTCCCCTCCCCCGCAGGAGGCAGCCGGGCTCCAGTCTCTCCGGCATGGCCATCGCCGACATCACCCTGCTGAGCGGCTTCCAGCCCCACATAGACGATCTCGACAAGGTTAGGGGCCCCCGATCCCCCCACTCCCCCCATCCATCCCCCCACCTCGGCCCCCCTCCCTCCTGCCACCTTCAGACCTCATGCGCCATCTCCCCCTGTAGGGGGCGCCCTGCCCCTCTGCCTGGGGAGGGAGAGAGGGGCTGTGAGTGGCCGTGTCTGGGTGGGGGAGGGGCTGTGGGGAGAGGGGGCTGGGGGCTGTGTCTGGGTGGGGGAGGGGATGTGTGGGGAGGGGCTGTGTGTCTGGGTGATGCTGTGGGGGGAGGGGCTGTGGGGCTGTGGGGGGGAGGGGCTGTGGGGTGGCGGGGGGGCCGTGTCAGGCGTGTGTAACCCCCCCGCCCCCCCCCAGCTGAAGGACCTGTCCGATCGCTACATCAGCCACTACGAAGTCCAGGGCCAGAGACTCCTGCTCTACTTCGAGACGGTGAGGGGGGTGGGGGGAGGGGCACAGGGGGGCTGGGCGGTGGTGGGGACAGGAGGGAGGGCTATGGTTTCCATGGGGGGAGGGGTACAGGGGGGCTGGGGGGCTCAGCAGTGGGGGGCAGGAGGGAGGGGCCCCTGGGGGG